ACAAAATAGTCACTAGAGGAATAAAATATAAATCTGTGTATGAAATACCACAATAACACATTTCTCAGGAAGAAAGTAAAAATGCAAAGTTGCACCAAATTGACTGTTAAATTGGATGTAAACCCAATCATTAAAACCTTATATAAGCTTTAACATGTTAATGTAATTTCAAAAATATCAATTTCTACTTATGGAGAAGCTGTCCTCTATTTGGATGCTTAGCTGGCAGTCTCTCCATAGAAACCAATGGGATTTTTCTGTTCATATGCAGAACAGGCTGCCTGGATGATAGAATTGGCAGGACAACCATCTGTGTGAATCTGGCAGAAGCAAGGACAGGTGAGGTTAGGACTTTAGAGGGTTTGGAAGGAAACTGGCTTACTTAAAGTCCCACTCCTGGCTGCTGTAATATACCGATGTGTTGGGGCTGCCCTTCCCCTTCACTGCATGGGTTAAATGCTCTTTATGTCTAGGAGATGATGTAAAAGGATAATTACTTACCTTATTCCTTGCCCCCCCCTAAAAAAAAGCCCCTTTTATTTTCCACTTGACCAGTCAAAACTCTTCTACCTCTTTAAGCACAAAGTAGGACCAGGGCTGTATCTTCTACATTGCACGTCTGGTCACAGTTTTTGTATTTTGTAACTTATGTTCCACCTTAAAGACCACCGGGAGGTGGCACTAAAGGGTTAACATCTGTTGGGCCATGCAATTAAAGGATAACTAAACCTAAGAGCAAACATGCAATATACTACCGCTTGCAGTCCTTAGATGGTGGTGGCTGCCTTTCTTTTATTTTTTTGCATGCTAAGAACATTTTCAGCAAGTACAGAATGTACTTGTTCATATTTCCAGAAATGCAGTATAAAATCCAGAAAAACAGTTGCGAGTGAGACCAGGGGTGGGGTGGGGGGGGGGGGGGTTAAATGAGGACGAGCTTTAAAGTAAACTTGTGCTTTGCCCATACAGTTTCATTAATACTCCTACTGATGCAGCACCTTTTACTTTTCTTTCCTTCATTCCCTGGCCATTGAAGACCAGTCCTATACATCCTTTGATTTGATCCCAGTCACAGCTTAGACAGGGCTGAGGACTGAAGCCATATGACAGCCCTGGGTACCTGACCTGCCAAACACCAATGCTGTCACATGTTTGGAAGGAGAACAAGTCACATGGTCCACTATATAGCGAGTATTTCTCCTTACATCCAGCAGCAAAAAGGTATAGCACTGGGCAAAGGGTTTAATGGAAGGTGAGTAAATGCAAAAGACCGGCATTAAAGTGAACCTGTTGCCTTGCCCTGTGTTGACAAAGCCTTCTGCTAGTATGATTTTATTCCATTATTTGTGCCATTAAAAGGTAAAACGGCACTTGTACGAAATAATATCTGAATTTCCTAGCTTATGCTGTCCACACGATTAAGTAACCAGATGATTACTGTTTGCTATTTTGCTGTAAAAATCACTTAGACGTTTTATTGATTTATTGATTGCTGCAATTTTCTATAGATGGAAAAAGTCCTTTGGAGAATGGATTCTAGATAATATCCCCACAATTCATTAAAGAACGTCAGCGTAGCGGAAAAGCAGGAAACAAATAGCTCTCATATAATTGCCATCGCTAAAGGTAAACACTTAAAGGGCAATTCTACCCAAGCCTGATATTTCATCTGTAATCATGTGCTGGTATAAGGAAGGATAGATTCACTTCTATAAAAAGAAACCAGTGCAGGCTCATAAGTGTATGCATACTGCTATTCATAGCTCTGTGCTGGAAGTGCTCGTGCCCTGCTATTGGCACCCAATGGCTTGCCTCCTGACCTGCCTCTACACTTTTGACTTTTTGTTGTGTCCTCAGATTGCCTTCTGGACTCTGCTTACTGCAATGTCTGCCCTCCATAAGAGCCTCAACCTAGTTCCCATAACCTGCTCTGATGCCCCAATGCTCCTGCAGTTGGCTCTTGCTCCTGATCCTCAGTCCTCTGCTCCATGCATCTGGCAGAAACATAGATCCTATACTGCACGCAACTCTGTAACTCATGCCACTCCTTGCCCTTACATTCTCTTTCACCACCTTCAGGAGTGTTGGGCAGGAGGTACCTCACAAGAGGAGCCCCCCATTTACTTTGTCTCTACCAGAAATATGATAGCTGTCATCCCTCCCCATGGAATTCCTACTTCTGAATATATCCAGAAAGACACAGCCCATCACTCAGGGGATGAGCGCATAGTGCCACATCCCAAACTACAATACAGAATAAATGTAAATAGTGCAGCACTAGAAATAAAGTGTATGGGTATACCTGTAATGTTGTATAAGAAATAGCACAGATATGCCTCAAATTACAAAACAACACAGTATATAAATGAAGTCCTTAAAAAAATTATAGCAATGGTGAAGTTGTATCAAACACCCTCACTAATATTATAATATAACACACAGTGCAAATGATAGTCCAGAATATCTGATGTGATGAAACCACGATTAGACTAAAAAAGGTGACTTGATAAAATCCCAGTGACAACTGTGATCCGGTGCCATGCAGGAATAATAGGTAAATTGCACACTCACCAGAGGCGCAATAAAAACTGCGCATTTGTGTCATATACACCAGAGGTCCCTTCAGTTATGGATGGAGAGTAGCCTGGAATAGATGACTCCGTGATGAATGGTAAAACATCTGGGGGTCCCCTTAATGAGCCTGGCTAAAGAGGGTCTCCTGCTTAAGGAGGAGACCCTGCTAGCCGTGACGTCAAGCTGCCGGATCAAGGAGGTCCGGCGGCCACCCACTTTTACCAGCTGGTCAGTGGTATGCTGTATTCAATGTTATCACATCCTTTGTGCACGAGGATTGTTTTCTACTACAGTACCTAAGAAGTGTGTCTTCTCTGTTTTAATCTTCAATAAATTCATTTTTAGCTTGACATAAATACTATGCTATGGGTACTTTTTTCTGCTCTATATCGAGCATTTAATCCCCCAGGACCACCAGATGACCATCCCAGGGTCCAGAGGAGAGTTGTAATCAGCAGATCCCATCTTTTTGTAATTTGAGGCATATCTGTGCTATTTCTTATACAACATTACAGGTATACCCATACACTTTATTTCTAGCGCTGCACTATTTACGTTTAAAACATTTGGAAGGTTTTATGGTTTCCCTTTTTAGTGTATCAGCTGCTGTCGCCCGTTAGCGCTCGCTGAACCACATACAACTATACAAAACAGAATACAAAAAAAAGAAACCTCCAAAAATAGGGACTTTGTCCTGTGCTAAAAAACAAAAACAAGAATTGACTATAAAATTATATTTATTAAAGTCCATTAAAACGGTGAACCAACAATTCCACCACTTGATTGGTAAATATTTAATAAAACATGTCCAACAGATTACATAGCAAGATTTGACAATTCCATATCCCGTTGTTATTGCGGACGCACTTCGCAGTCCACATTTGCTTCTTCAAAGGCTTTGAGGGGAGTCGTCCACAAAAACATGTACATAGCTTCACAGTAACAAATATATGTATATATACATGAAGATATTACAACCATTAATACACATTTAACCATTAATAACAACATTATGATTATTTCAGATTTTTGGTGCTGAAAGCGGTACCATTATTTTGCATGGAAATATGTAGTTTTTTATTGTAGGCTGTAATATTTAGGAATAACTCACTGAAATCTGTCCGAACAAGAGTCTAGTAAACATCCCGGATAGGATAAAATTTGCAACACAAAATCATAACTTATAATTTAATAAATAATCATAAAAAAAATAATATAATAATAATACATTTAATTCAATAATATAATCAAACCAAAAACACAAAAATTTGAAATATAGCGCCAAGTTCACACATTACTGAGCAAAGTCGCAAAATCGTTTTCAGTGTCTGATGACGAATTTCTCCACGAATCATTATCACTCAATTCTGCAAGTGGTTCTGATTTACTATCGCTGTTCTCTAGCCGGTCTAAAACCGCTTTTGACCTAAAGGGACGCTTTTTGGACGCCATGGACTTTTCTAAGTTTCCAGGCAGAAAGAACAGTAAAAATGCAGGCAGGGCACAGGACAAAGCACTCGGGACAAAATGTATGTGAAATGGTTTGAAACAGCAATGTTTTACTATGTAAAATTCGTTTTGAAAAAAAAAAAATGACATTTTTTTTTAAATTTTCAAATTTCCCGCCGCCGCCGGCGCCCGTACGTCCCGACGTCACAGGGACCGGAACACAGAAGCCGGATGCCGGCATCGGCCGGAGGAGATGGCCGGGGACGCTGCAGGGGACACATCGCGGGAGCGAAGGACAAGGTAAGCTCTGCAGGGACTCCCTGAGCAACGCCGCATGGTAAGCCCGAGTGTAGCTCGGGGTTACCGCTTTTGGTACAGAAACTTTACCCCGAGCTACACTCGGGAATACCGCCAAGGAGGTTAAATTATTATTACCTCTGAATATATGCAAAGGCCACTGCAAAGTCGAAAGCTCCCTAACAGATTTGGGATCCCAACCGCAGAGTAGGATATCCTATTTTGGTATTACAGAGCATGCTATTTGAAGGAATTGTGCATTTTGTTAAATAGCTATCTGGTATTTATGATGTTGCATTGGTACAGTCCTGGGTGGGGCTGCAGTGTACATGTCTGGGTTTAATAGTTGGAAGTGATCTGATGTCATTGGTGTACAACTTCCTCCTGCTTAGTTAAGCTCCCTTAGGATGGCACCCAGAGTTCCACAGGTGGGGGATTTTCATACAGGCTTGGATCTGTGACATCTTTCTACATGCAATAATTTGTGTCTTTTATAATTGCCTGGAATTCAGCTTTAAGGCGTTAAAGATTAAATTAGATACTTTAATGTCTAACACAGAAAACATTGAAAGGGCTAGTGCTCTAAAAGACAATGTTTCAGTTTTGGTAGATTCTGGAGAGTTGAACTATTGGTGGTTTCTAACACCTTTCAGGGACTCTGCTGTCAAGGTCCTTGTGTTCGAGTTCCCAGATCTGCAAAAGTCTCCCACTTTCCTGTTAGATCTGTTAGAGATTTGATTAAAGTGTTACTAAACCCAGGACCCTGCATTCACTATATCTGGTCTCCCCGGACCCTGCATTCACTATATCTGGTCTCCCCGGACCCTGCATTCACTATATCTGGTCTCCCCGGACCCTGCATTCACTATATCTGGTCTCCCCGGACCCTGCATTCACTATATCTGGTCTCCCAGGACCCTGCATTCACTATATCGGGTCTCCCCGGACCCTGCATTCACTATATCGGGTCTCCCCGGACCCTGCATTCACTATATCTGGTCTCCCAGGACCCTGCATTCACTATATCGGGTCTCCCACAGTGAACACAACATGGAAATGCAATTGATTTAGTAGATATAAATGAAATACCTTTATTCATCAGCAGTATATATATCAGTCATGTGACTTCTATCAGTGTCCAGCAGAGCACTGGTTAAAGCTTGTAGGAGGAGTTTTCATTCTCCCCTGATAGTCCTATGAGGCTGCAGGACCCCTGACCCTCTGTCTGGACACTGCTCATTGGCCTTGTGCTGATCACATGTACTCTTCCAAGAAAAAAAAAAACTCTCTAGGAATACACACCAAACTGAGAATGTGCAGCTTGCCCCCAAGGTTCTGTTCTATCGGCAGATGGATTGGGGACAGCAAAAGAAGGAGAGGATCAGAGAAGAAAGGATCAAGCAGCCTTTTTACGCACTGCAGAGGATTAACTCTGTAGGTTCCACAGTGAGCATAACAAGCATGCTTTACTGCATATACAGATTGATTTTACTGTTGTAGGTTTAGTAACACTTTAATTTTACATTTAAAAATGCAGCTTGAAAAGTAATAATACTCCTATAAACTCCAAAGTAAGCAGGAACAGAGCCAATAACTGGAAGTTATCTCCAAAGGAATACCAGAGAGGTATGTTACTACTTGATGACTTTATACTCAGAGATGTTAACCCAGGCAGAGGGTAAGTGGGGGATAAAGTAGGAGTGATATGGCAAAAGTAGGCATGGAAAATGTGCTTTAAGTGATTGTAAAGGCAGATTAAAAAAAATAACAAACATGTCATACTTACCTGCTCTGTGCAATGGTTTTGCACATAGCAGGCCCAATCCTCCTCTTCTCAAGTCCCCCACAGGCTCTCCTGGCTCCTTCCTCCTGCCAAGTGCCCCCACAGCAGGCAGCTTGCTATGGGGGCACCTAAGCAGGCTCACTCCCAAGCCACTGCTCTGTGTGTGCATTGACACAGAGATGCAAATTTAAAAAAATGTACTACATTTGAAATGTAAACATATTGCAATAAATACAGTAAGGTATAAAAGTTAAATAAAATTATTTTTACTTATTGGGATAGATTTAGTAAAACTGGAGCACTCACAACCTGGTGCAGCTGTGCCTGATTGCCAATCAACTTCTAACTTCAGTTTGTTCAATTAAGCTTTGACAATAAAAACTGGAAGCTGATTGGTTTCTACGCAGAGCTGCACCAGACTTTGCACTCTCCAGCTTTAGTAAATAAACCCCATTGTGTTTGAGTTGGATGGAGGTGGATCCGTCAGAATCTTTGAATCATAACATAACGAATGAATCAGAAATGAATTTTTTTCCATTTGTTAATTTGGATGCACACAAGTCCAGTCGATATCGTCCAGTCAGCTCATTCCATTTCTCTGTGTGGGTTGGACTAGCAGGGATATAGCCAATCTTCCAAAATAACAAAAGAACTTCGAAAAATATGAATTGATTCAGAAACAACAGATAAATACTCTCTACTGAAATAATGAATTGTGCTGAAAATAAATTCCAACATAATGAATATGACGAAACAAAATGATTTACTCAAAGCAGATCTCCGTCCAATCCACTCCCCCTTTTTTTCTTCACCCCCGCTCACCTTTAGGGGGTATCTGCACATTTAAGATACTTACCCACTCAGCAGATTCAACGTTATCCCACTGAGATCCACTGAGATGATCTTGTTCCGTGCTGCCATCTTCTTTTTGACGTCATTGAGAAGCCTACCGGCTCTTCCTGGTTCGGTGGGTGGGCCTCCTGATGATGCACTGATAGGTCCACCCTCTCCTCCTTTCCTCTGTGGAAGGCTATGCCTCCTGGATTACATGACGTACATATCCGGGAAGGCACAACGGGCAGTGTGCACGTCATATGCCTAGGGCGAATGACAAGCACAGGGAGGCGGGGCTGGATATTTTTAACAAAAAAAGTGAACAAAAAAGAAAAAAAACAGAGCGCCATACATATGTGACATGGAGGGAGGGGTGGAGTGGGAGGAAGTTGGGAAGAGTCTGAAGGTTCGCTTTAACAAATTAAACTAAAACAAAAAATTTTTTTTTGTCATGTACATGTCTAGTCCTTACCACTGCTCCACAGTGGTATGAAAACAAAATGGTGGAAGATCTCCCCACCTCACGTAAGTGCAGGAGGAGGTGACTACTCTTATAAAGGGAACAGTCTGCTATGCATGAGTGCCATGCTGAGTTTGTTCCTTTGCATTGCCCACGTCTCCCAAGATGTTCTGCAGTTTTATTGAGAAGGCTCATCACATGTTTATCTATTGAGGGACCAGGTCCTTAAAGTGGAGGTTCAGTCAAAATTAAAAAGTAAATAAAAGTCAGAAGCTACAAAAACTGTAGCTGCTGACTTTTAAAAAAAAACCAACACTCACCTGTCCCACGATCCTGCGGTCACCCACCTTCCTGTGTCCTGGCGCCAACATCTTCAGTGTGGGCACCTGGCTGTGACAGCTTGAGGCTTCACAGCCGGGTGCCCACTGCACATGCGCAAGTAGTGCTGCACTTTGTGAATGGTCCCATAGTCTTCTTGGACCTGTCTCGTGTTCCAGAAGACTACGGGGATGGGGGGGCGGACATCTTCTGCTTCTGGTCACCTAGGCTCACCTGTCAAATTCGGGAACCCCCCCTGCTCCCCAAAGGTGCCAATCTTTAACAGGGAGTGGGGGACGAAGCCTTAAAGTGGATCTTCCCCTTTTGGGTGGTGCTCCACTTTAAAGACTCCTTAGCCTTGGAGAAAATCCCAAAATATTGTGGGTTTCCTGAATTTCCCAGACACTTTGACAAGCATACTCCATTTTTTTAATGAAAACACCACTTTTGGATGATGTAAACTTTTAAATCCTTGAACTTCAAAATCAGTCTATTCTGTATAGCCATATAGCTGAGCTGTGTACAGGCAGTATGGAATACCTTTGCTTCTAGGCTCTGTTAGCTTTTTCTTCCTGCATTACATTGCTGTAAAATAAGATGATGACCAAAACATAGCCATTCCGCATGAATATTTGTTATCCTGCTGCTCCGTATATTCAGCTCTTATCATCAATATGTAACCCTGCTGGGTTCCCATCTCTATCTCAACATATATTTCATTCAAATTTCTATTCACGTTTATCTCCTCACCAACTGTGTAGCTTGAAGGCTCTTTTCATAGCACAAATAAGGTTTTATTGAAGTACAACTCTCAAATCTTCAGCTGACCATAAGAGCCTCCAGCGTTCATCCATGATCTTGACTTCTCCAATATTTTTTTTTAAAACAAAAAATATGTAACGTTGAGTTAACCTTAGGGCAAGAAACAATACGGGACTGAAGAAGTGCAGCCCAATACTTTCCCAACCTCAGAATGACCTTCTTCATTAAAAAAGAGGAAACACAATAAAAATAAACAGGCAAATGCCATTCTTCCTTTTAAAATAGCTGTAGCCCACTTGGCAAACATCCAGATGAATTGGGATTCTATTATTAGCTATAAGGGTCTTTTCAGGGGAAAAGTCTTTTATTGTGAGGGGGCTGCATCTGCATTTCATTTTATGACTTTTATTGTAAAACAAAAATACGTTTTTCTGATTCTGAAACTGGTGCAATAGCCATTACACTGCAAATTTATAATGTTCTTCTATTGCACAGTATCTGAGAGTATGCAGATGCTTAAATGATTTAGTAATAAAAAAAAAAATCTAGATGAACCTTTTCTGCAATAGAAGAATATACATTGCTCTAATGTCTCCTACGTTTCATTTGTTCCAGCACTGCAACCCTAATGAAAATCTTTAGTGTTTGACACTTCCAGGAGTGTCGGGTACCTGTGTTTCCTGGTTTCATCCTCCGATGCCTACATCACCGCTGTGTCCTGTCGTGATGTAGGGTCAGAGGATGAAACCACAGAGAGTGGTTATTGGCATCTGATACTACTGGAAATGTGGAATTCTGAAGAGTCTGATAGAGGCTACAGTGCTGGAACAGAGAGGAGATAGGAGAAATGGATGGCAGGGGTGGTGAGCATAATGTTTCTTCTATTCTAGGGAACAGTTATCTAGAATTTCTTATGCAACTGACGAGGGTTTTTTTGCTAAAACTGTGCAAAATCAGGTGCAACTCTGCATAGAAACCAATCAGCTTCCAGGTTTTATTGCCAAAGCTTAATTGAAAAAGCTGAAGTTAGAATCTGATTGGCTACCATGCACAGTTGCACCAGATTCTGAGTGCACCAATTTTGATAAATCTCCCCCATGGTCACCAAAAAAAGTGGTTTCTTATTTTTGTCTTTACAACGTGTGTTGTGACATGTGTGTCTACTAGCACTTAGATTGAGTTACATAATCACTTGCTTAACTATGCTTCACTTCCTGGGGTGTACTTTGCGATTTAGCAAAACCTTAATGTAAAAAAATAAATAAATACAATGATTACCACTTGCCTACCGGGCACTTATACCCCCTTCCTGCCAATTTTCAGCTTTCAGCGCTGTAGCACTTTGAATGACAATTGCACAGTCATGCAACACTGTACCCATATGACATTTTTATTTATTTTTTTACACATAGCTTTCTTTGGGTGTTTTATTTTTTGCGCTATAAACAAAAAAAGAGTAAACAATTTGAAAAAAAAAAAAGGTTTTCTTTGTTTCTATTATAAAGTTTTGCAAACAGGTAATTTTTCTCCTTTCACTGATGTGCGTTGATGAGGCTCCACTGATAGGCAGCACTGATGGGCACTGATAGGCAGAACTGATGGGCACTGGTAGGAGGCCCTGAGGATGCTGCACTGATAGGCGGCACTGATGGGCAGGACTGATAGGAAGCACTAATGGGTGGCACTGCTGGGCACAGGTGGGTGGCACTGCAGGGCACATGTGGGTGGCACTGATGGGCACAGGTGGATAGCATTGCTAGGCACAGGTGGGTGGCACTGATGGGCACAGGTGGGTGGCACTGCATGGCACAGGTGGGTGGCACTGCATGGCACAGGTGGGTGGCACTGATAGGTAAAGGTGGGCGGCACTGATGGATACAAGTGGGCAGCACTTGTTGGCACAGGTGGGGGACACAGGTGGGTGGC